AAAATGCTACAAGTATTTAATTAGTAAACTATCAGTATACCTAGAAGTTCACTTTTAGTATAGTTGCAGTACAAGCTAAAACTATTGATGTAAACTAGTTGTGTACTCAAAATGTACTACTGTTATACTTAAAGTATACTTAAAAGTATACTTTTATATGCTAGAAAGTGGGCCAATTTAGTCCCAAGTATTGAAATAGTACACTAACAAGTATACTACTAGTACACTGATATTTGTATACTTGCTACATAAAGTATACTTAAAATATACTTGAACTTTACTTAAGTATACTTACTAAAATAAACTTGAAGTATACTACTTTTTGGTAAGGGTGTCATAATTTAGTCATTTTCTTTGTTTTTGCTGAGGGCATCATAAAGTGTTTACAAATGTAATCTATTTATATTGCAACTCTTTAGAAGCTATACGTCAGCTTGTGTATGACAAAATAAAAGTATATTGTAGTATCATATATACTAATTCTCTGTGTTGGTGTGATTTAGGGTATGTTGGGGGCTCAAATACATCAATATAGCGGTAAAATGTGAATATAAAGACTCTTGCATTTCAAAAGCAGTGCTTACATGAATCCTTTTGCATTTTAGATACTGTCAAAGTTTGTATATGCAAAGTACAAAAATGCTGAATGCTATGTATAAGTAGTTCTGAATTCTTAAGAGATCTGGCTGGTTTATTTCATGGTGAACTGATTCATATCGATGATCAGTGGGAACAATCACTGATTGTCTCTTGGATGTTTTGCAGAACCCTGAACAGCAACAACATCAGCAGCATCCCAGTGTCCAGCTTCAACCACATGCCCAAGCTCAGGACATTGTGAGTAACGCAAACACACACATAAAACACACAGTGGGAGTGTGCGCCAAGTCACTCTTCAAGAGATAGTTCACCAGGAAAAATGTATATTCTGTCATCATTTACTCACTCGTTTCAAACCTTCAGGACTTCCTCTCTTCTGCAGAACATGGGAGAATATTTTGAAAAAGGTCATTTCAATATGTGGACAAAAACTGTTCTCTAAATATCTTATTTTGTTCTGCAGAAGCAAGAAAGTCATAAAGGTTTGAAATAATATGAAGATGAGAATATGACAGATATTTTTGAGTGTCCTGAGTTATGTGATGAGAGCTGAGATGGTGGGTAGTTTACGAAGCACATTTGGAATTACACAAAGTCTTTTCTGTGAAATCTTGCAAGCATGTAGCTAAAATGTTTGATTCCCAGGAAATGCAAGTCACTTTATAAAAGATTCAGAATGATTACCTAATAGTCAAAAAGTACTACTTCAACTGGTGTGATATACCGGTTAGAAGATGCATTTTTTTATCTTATTGATAAACTAGTGTACATAAAGTTTCTGCCACTGAATAAAAAAAAAGGTAATTGCAAATTTTAACTCACAATTCTGATTGTTTTTCTCACAATTGTGAGATTATATCATGCAATTCTGAGGAAAAAAATTCTCAAACGCACACACGCAATCACACACACACACACACACGCACGCACGCAAGCACACACACTCACACGCACTCACATTTTATTAGTTTATTTGGATCCACAAGACAAGCAACAAAAACGGAATCCAAATACCTTGGGAAGTCAGTTTGCAAGATGACAGGTACACATGGCTAACATAACACACATTCACACGCACTCACATTTTATTAGTTTATTTGGATCCACAAGACAAGCAACAAAAAACGGAATCCAAATACCTTGGGAAGTCAGTTTGCAAGATGACAGGTACACATGGCTAACATACATTCACAAGTCCTTATATTTATAACATTCAACACTCAAGGATAGACAAAACATCTTCATTTCCATATTTGCATACTCCCTATAGTGGCTGAAACGGAACAAAATTTTGCGAGTTTTTTTGCTTTCTTTTTTTGCAATCCACTCAACTGCAGACCTTTAATCACATTCTTGTGCACATGACCTAAGCTTCCAAACACTAGGGTAATTAACTTACAGTGATAGTCAAGTTGATGGATGGCTTCAACCTCGTTTACAATCACAATGTCTGCAGTGTTTGGAATGTTTTTGAAATAGTCACTGTTAAATGTGTTGTTATAAAACCAGTTCAATTCAACAGTAGTATGCTGGTAAAACTTACTGTCTTTATGTATTGTTTTCAAGTCCTTTACAATCAAATCAACCAGGCGATCGTGTCTGGACACATACAGTCCTTTGTAACAACAACATCACACAGACACACACACACACACACACACACACACACACACACACCCACACACAAGCACACAAGCTGTGATCACAGAGTGAGAGTATTTAAAAAGTGAATGTGTGCACTTCACCTTCAATAATGTGTTTCCTAGAAAGGCCTCGTTCTGTCTCGGCTCTGTGGCGAAAAAGAGACACACAAAGAGACAGATGTATGTCAGAAAGCAACATTTCAGACAGAGCTAAGTTCAGTCTAGCATATAAGACATGTCCTCCTTCTGCCAGAGATTCTTGCTCATCTTTTTTCTTTTTCAAACTGGCCCTTTTGCAGACAGACACACACACACACAGACACACACACACACACAGACACACACACACACACACACACACACAGTGTCATTCCATGCCGTCTTGGCGGGACGGTGGAGGCCACACGGCTCTGCCAGAAGCCACAGTCAGTAATTCACAAACACATACAGAAATAAACACCCACACACACTGTTTTTATGATATGTATGTGCTGCTATATTTCTCTGGAATTTGTAACCACATGGAGTTTCTTTCTCATTTATTTCTCATTTATTTCTGGTTTATTTATTTATTTTGTTATTCACTTACAGATTTATGCTATGAAATGGTCAGGTTTCCATTAAAGAATATCAGGAATATAAGTGAAGTTTTAGAGAATGAAATCCAGACCCCGGGATTGCAGTCAGTTTGTACATTTTCTGTTTCTGTTGAATATTTTGAAACAGTATGTGGCAGTAAAACAGGATAGTTTTTCCGGTAGATCACGTGTACCCCATCAGCATGTCCTCTTTACCTGAGAGAGAAAAGAGCCCACTGATCAGATACTGGGTACTGGGTAAAGATAACTGGCTATTGGCATTAGTAGTAAAGCTCAGTGACAGGCTTAGCACAGCATGAATTTCCATGTTAGTTCAGACTGGATTATGCTGGCAAGAGCACCCAAAACACAACATGATCTGCTGCTGGTCTTTTAAGAAATGAAAATTAGCTGAAAATGTCCTCACCTTCATCCAAGATGTAGATTTTTAGATATTTCTTCATCAGATTTGGATATATCCATCAGTGAATGCTCTGCAGTGAATGGGTGCTGATAAAAACATCACAGTAATCCACAAGTAATCCACAGCACTCCAGTCCATCAGTTAATGACTTGAGAAGACAAACGCTGAAACAAATCAAAAGTCACTTATTGCCAAAATACGAGTCCGTAATCCATAATAACTCTTCCTCCAGTGAAAAAGTCCATCATCTGTTGTCTCTCACATCAGAATCCAGCCATATATTTGTTTAGAGCTGTTTTGGCTTGTAAACAGTGCCTGATCTGTGCAGATTTCTCTCCTGATTCAGACCAGACCACTTTTACACTGGAGGAAGCGTTATTATGGACTCGTATTTTAGTTAAAAACATCTTAATGCTGGGTTAGTTTCAGCTTTTGTCTTCTCCAGATGTTAACTGATGGACTGGAGTGCTGTGGATTACTTGTGGATTATTGTGATGTTTTTATCAGCTGTTTGGACTCTCATTCTGACGGCACCTTTCACTTTCAGCACATTTTCAGTTTTGATTGAACAATGTCTTTAACCTTGTGTTAAAAAGAATTGGATAAAAGCTTCATCTTAACCTTCACGCTGCCATTTTTTCCACCTTCAGCCGTTTACATTCCAACAACCTGAACTGCGACTGCAATCTGGCCTGGTTGTCCCAGTGGTTGCGCGAGCGGCCGACCATCGGTCTGTTCACCCAGTGCAGCGCTCCAGCTCCGATACGAGGACTTAATGTAGCCGAGGTCCAGAAACATGAATTCAGCTGTTCAGGTAACACAAGCCCTCAAAACAAATACAGTGAGCAATCTGCCTTCCAGTCTCTTCAGCCAACATTAGCATCTACTGCTTTTCACTGATCAGAATTGAAGAACAATAACTAGTTCTCACTTGTACACTTACGTTTTATTACTCACAACCTCTTCTCACTCATTACAAATGTCCCTCTGCAGGTCAGTCTGAAGACGCTGCTGTTCAGTCGTGTAGTTTCACCGCCGGCTCGTGTCCGGCCGTCTGCACCTGCAATAATAATATTGTGGACTGCAGAGGGAAAGGACTGACGGCGATACCGGCAAACCTGCCCGACAGCATGGCAGAGATGTAAGTTCCTGTAATTCAAACAGTAGAAAATGGCGCAAACAACAGCAAGGTTGTGGGTTCAATTCCCAGGAAATGCAAGAACTGATCAAATGTATGCCTTGAATGCATTGTAAGTCACTTTGGATAGATAAACTAAAATCACACAAACTGTACTAAAAACCCACAAAGGCCAATATAATATGCATCATTTCTGACAGTTCTGATTTTAGTTTTTTAAATGTTTTAAAAAAAAAAACATTTTTCTAGGTTATACGAACGTTTGGGGAACATTCCATTCTATCATTTTGCAAACATTATGGGAATATTTCTTTTGAATGTTCTCTGAAAGTAGTTACATTTGAAAAAAAAAAACATTAAAGTTCCTGTAATTCAAACGTTAGAGCATGTTGCAAAGCAACACCAAGGTTGTGGGTCCAATTCCCAGAAAAGGCATGAACTGGACAAATGTATATCTTGAATTCAATGTAAGTCAGTTTGGATGAAAGCGTCTTCCAAATGCAAAAGTTTGAGCTTCTAAGGGTCCTGTACTAAAACACAAAGGCCAGTATAATGTGAATAACTGGCACGCACAGACACGCACACACATGATTATGGCGCACTACTTCCAGACGTGAGAGAAGGAACTATAGCCACTTGCGATCTGTGGATTACAGTGGCAAGATCTACGACAGATATGCTTGCAGAGACTGAAAAGCTCAGTCTGCAGAGAGAAGACCACAGGAATGTGCTGTCTGGAATCACTGCAATCCAAAGAATGTAAATTGTGTTTCTATATTTCCTAGCGAGTGCCCTGCTTTTGAAGAGAAGGGAAATTCTGCAAGTGTTTAAGTCAAACTGTTATTGCCTGTGGCTCTGAAGGCACTAAATGACCCTGACAAATGACTTTCCTGTTTTAAATGAGGCTTTTTAGACTGAAAACAACTGCTTTCTTCAACGGCGCTGTGGCCTGAACCTGCAGGGTGTGCCATTAAAGCAGACCCTTAAAAACACTGGCAGCCCCCACAGACACTAATGGCATCCAAACCTGAGAAAAAGACGCACTGCATTCGCCTTCATCAGCGCTGCTGATGTTTACTCTGTTCTCCAAGGTTCTGCCACAAGAGAGAGATTGTTTGCCATGAATGTTTTCTATGACCGGTCATTCCAGCCAGGCCACAGAAATCATACACGCATGGGAATTCAGACTACTTTTTGGAAGAATTACTGTATGTAGTATTTGTGACCCTGGAGCACAAAACCAGTCATAAGGGTCAATTTTTCGAAATTGAGATTTATAGATCATCTGAAAGCTGAACAAATAAGCATCACATTGATGTATGGTTTGTTAGGATGGGACAATATTTGGCTGAGATACAACTATTTGAAAATCTGGAATCCTGCCAGTACTGAGACTTAAACCCACGACCTTCGGGTTACAAGTCCGACTCTCTAACCATAATGCCACAACTGCCCCTACTTCCAGTGGAGAAGCAAAGGGACAGTTGTAGCCTAATGGTTTGAGAGTCATCTGTTATCAGAAACAGTCAAAAGTTTAGTTTTTGTGAACAAAACCTTTGCTAATATCACCAATCAAATTTTGAAGTACCTGTTGATAAAAAGATACATTCGTTGAGCACTCCCTAAATGACAAATTATCTGGATGGTATTTTGCACACATTACGTACTTCTAGTGGAGAAACAAATGAGGTTAACATTTCCAATAAAAAATGTACCCCCCAAGAAGTGCCACCCTAATGTTTATGCATTACATTTAAAGGTGACCTATTGTGCCCCTTTTTACAAAATGTCAAATAAGTCTTTGATGTCCCCAGAGTGTGTATGTGAAGTTTTAGCTCAAAATACCCCACAGATAATTTTTTTATAGCTTGTTAAAATTGCCACTTTTAGGGTATGAGCCAAAACGCACTGTTTTTGAGTTTTTTGAGTTGTCCCTTTAAATGCAAATAAGCTGGAGCTCCCGCCTCCGCTTTCAGAAGAGGGCGGAGCTTCAGGATCTCATGCTCTGGCATACCAATGCTGGCCTTTGCAAATAAACATTTCATTACACTAAGGGCCAGATTTACTAAACGGGCCAAATTAGCGTGATAGCAATTCCAAAAAATGCTAATGGGAGTGGAAAATTCTGCGGGTGATTTACTGACAATGCGCAAATTAAAGAACACAGACGCAGCCAGATCATTTCCACAATGGCCAACGCAAATCTTCCAAAAGCAGCGCAAATTAGCATCCGCTTTAAGACATGCTTTTTTTGGAGTGTTAAATAATGGCGCAAATACCAGTAATTTGTTCCATTTAAATACTCTCCAACTATAAATTTTGCATCTGAAAGGGAAACTCCTACAAATGCATATTCAATAAGGTCAGTCGCAAAAATAACTGCCCATGCCTTTTCAGCGCTAATTCTTCACTGCGCATCTTTAGTAAATCCTGACAATACTATTTTAACACCAAAAGACGGTTTGTGCCGGCGCAAGCTGTTAATAAATCTGGCCCTAAGTATATGGTGATTGTTTCTTCTTCTTCTTTGAAAAAAGTCTCTAAACCTGCAAACTGAAGTTTTATGAATTTAAAAATAAAGCAAGCTCCATACATGAATGTATTCTGCTTTATTGATGCATCATTCCAGAATTGGGAACTACGACTGCTGATTGTGGCTGATATAGAGTGGGAGTGTGTCTGTGGCTTCTGCTCATGTGGATTTGAAATGTCAGACAACACAGAGAGCCAAAAAGTGAATGTTGCAATATTGCTTACATTCTTCTGTATTTCTCTTTTGGCAGACGACTGGAACAGAACAGCATCAAATCCATCCCTCCTGGAGCGTTTTCTCCTTATAAGAAACTGCGCAGAATGTAAGTTTGCAGCAGCTAAGATAACACAACACTCCTCTCATGTGTGCAACATACTTTTATAGACAATATGGCCACTGTGAGGTAACAATCAAATCAAATTCACAGTACTTCAACTGCCTATTTTTTGATTCGATTTTATTGATAATCCAGTTTAAACAGTCATATAAAACTCAGGCAGTGGCTGAGAGATGCTGGAATCCACCGTTCTGACTTTTAACCTGCTCTAAATGGACTCACAGCTGGAGCCATGGTTGATGTGGTAGACCAGTGGTTCCCAACCCTGGTCCTGGAGGCACCCCAACACTGCACGTTTTGCATGTCTCCTTAAATGAACACACCTGATTCAGGTCATCAGCTCATTAGTAGAGACTCCAAGACCTGAAATTGGTGTCAGAGAAAGAAGACATGCAAAACGTGCACTGTTGGGGTGCCTCAAGGACCAGGGTTGGGAACCACTGTGGTAGACCACCTTAAACCAGCCTGACCCATTTAAACAGTGTGATATTCACTCTCTTTAAAGTTGAGATGTAGCACAGCTTGTAAAAACCCAAATCTCCACAGCTCTATAAATTCACATCACATCTTGTCGGGGAGTATTTTCTCTCTGACTGTTTGCAGTGCTGTACTGGCGTGTGGTTTGATGGCTAGACCGCAGGCTTATTAAAGTCTTCTCCAGGGCCTATAATGCCTGCCCTTTACTAATAGTCCTCACCACAGTGCCACCACAGCAGGGCTGGAGGTTCAGAGCTACCCATTTACATACCTACAGCCACATGAGCCCAAAACAGCCCAGATCCAGCGTGATACAGGCCAGCTCTCATGGCCTGAGATCATCTACTGACACTCTGAACCAGAAGCGTGTCTTCATTCTCCTTCTGTCTGTCTTTACAGAGATCTCAGCAACAACCAGATTTCTGAGATCGCTCCTGATGCCTTCCAGGGCCTGCGCTCCCTAAACTCACTGTGAGTGTGTGTGTGTGTGAGTGAGTGAGTGAGTGAGTGAGTGAGTGAGTGAGTGAGTGAGTGTGTGTGCTGTAAATACAGTAGAGGACGCTTAGTGCGTTTAGTGCATCAGAAGCAGTATGCTGACTTTGCTAGGTAACCTTTCTGGGTGGTAACTCATTCATATTCATGGGCAACCCTTCACCGCATCCTAACTTTCTGTATGTCAATTCCATCAGTTTGAGATTTTGTAAGTTAGCAGATTTATCCACTGATCTGGTTACATTATTTCTTGAAGTCGGCGACTCGGCATGTAATGAAAATTCACTCAATCTATTTTGTAAACAGTTGTATTTGAAACAATTTATCCAAGTATATGTTTCATTTTTTTCTACATCACAATATGTTGATACTTTTGTTTCATCGTGACTTTAAAGAAATTGTTTAACCAAAAAAGAAAATGTGCTGAAAATGTGCTCACCCTCAGGCCATCCAAGATGTAGATGAGTTTATTTCTTTATCAGATTTGGATATATCCACCAGTGTATCCTCTGCAGTGGATGGGTGCCGTCAGAATGAGAGTCCAAACAGCTGATAAAAACATCACAATAATCCACAGCACTCCAGTCCATCAGTTAACATCTGGAGAAGACAAAAGGAACAAATCCATCATTTGGACGATTTTAACTTCCGAGCTAAAAATACGAGTCCATAATCCATAATAACTCTTCCTCCAGTGAAAAAGTGTTCTGGTGTGAATCAGGAGAGAAATCTGCACAGATCAAGCAGCGTTTAAACAGCTCTAAACACATATGTGGCTGGATTCTGATGTGAGAGACAACAGGAGATGCACTTTTTCACTGGAGGAAGCATTATTATGGATTATGAACTCGTATTTTAGCTGGAAACAATTCGTTTTTTACAAATAACGCAGCTTTTCATTTTTGATGGACTGGGGTCGTGTGGATTTGTTTGGGGAAATTTTTCATTTTTGGATGAACTATTCCTTTAATGCAAAAAAGTCCCTTTTTTTCTTGTTTGAAATCATTTCAGATGCTAAAAGTCAGTCTATACCAGAAATATATTTCTGATGTGAGCCAAGAGAATTGCATATTTTAATGTCATTCAACAAAGTTCCACCAGGACTTACTGAGATCTGCAGCTCTGTTTACTCCTCCAAACGCTCATGTAGGATCTTTAGCAGTAAGGATGAGCTGGATGTGTGTATGTGGTCTTCTGCTGACTGTCTCTCTGGTGTTCAGGGTTCTGTACGGCAACAAGATCACTGATCTGCCCACAGGAGTGTTCGATGGACTCTACACCCTCCAGCTGCTGTGAGTGAGAGAGTCTCTTCCAGAGCGAGATTTCATTGCTCAGAGGTTGCGTACGAGTATAGAGCCATAAAATCAATGTGGACAGAACAGCTCAGATCATTTGGTGTTGAAAGAATTTGCCCCATTTGCTCTCTACTGGAGAATCCATCGAGATATTAAAGAGTTTAAATTTGTGATTGTTCTTTCTTTAGGGCTGGGAAGTACTTTAGATTGAATCAGTTTATTATAAAAATAAGAAACTAGCTCACTATTATTTCGCATGTGTCAGTTTAATCTGCATCTCTTTCTTCCTCATTTTGTTTCCAGCCTTTTGAATGCAAACAAGATCCACTGTCTTCGCGCCAACACCTTTCAGGACCTGCAGAATCTCTCGCTGCTTTCTTTATATGACAACAAAATCCAAACGCTGGCCAAGGGCACCTTCACCTCGCTGCGCACCATCCAGACCCTGTGAGCTCACACTCAGACCAGATGCTTTTACGGTTTTTAAACGAGATTCTTTGATAATCAAAAGAGAACTTGCTTGCTTGCATGTCTAATGTTAAGGAGTCTTCAACTGTGTCGCATAGCTTTAAACCTAGTGATTGTATTTGCATAAAAACATGCAACAAGTAATGAACCTGTACTGTATATGTTCCACTGAAATTAATGAATGAATAAATGAACATGTTCCACTGATCTTGCAGATCAGGTAATACAAGCAAAAGTAATTTGACTAGATTACACATAAAGTGTAATTTAAAAGATTGCATTAATGATTACAGTTGTGTAATTTGTAATCAGTACTAGTTTAGATTTCAGAAGTAATCTGCTTACACTGCTGGCTGGTCCAACAATGTGCTGTAGGTCTCACACACACACACACACACACACACACACACACAAAAACACACGCATTTTTTTCTGTGTTACATATAGTATGTGAATTAAATGCTTGATACTGAGAACCTCAGGAAAATACTGTTTGCAGAGCTGATTCTTACACATGTGTTTTGTCCAAGAAAGCCTCTACACAACAGCTGGTGAAATGGATTGATACACATACCAATATACAAGCCTGAAAAATGTCAAATCTCCATTTTTCATGCTGAACACCACAGCACTGTACTACTGTATACACACTACACAAAAGGAGCCTATACAGTAATACTCTACTATACTATATCTCTGTTGGCTTCCATCACTGATATAGTCCATTTTCCAAAGCCCATCTGTGGCCTTATGTATTTGTATTCTCATGGTGTATGATCAGTTTTGGTGATTATTGTCTTCTTGTGTCTCTGTCGCAGCCAAAGAGCAGTATGTCATCCCAGGTGAGTGTGTGTCGCGTTCATTAACATGATACAAAGCCGTGGTTTTCTTAATAGTCTATGTTTGAGCAGCTACTTTAATTTCAGTACAACAAAGTAAAAAATCATTATGGTGCCTAATTATAAGATCATGCCAACTGTGGGGATTTGGTGGTGGTTGCAATGACAAACACTCGCGTGCACTTTAATTATTGAACACTTGTTAGATAACAGCCTTGAGCTTTGGTGCAAGTAGACACTTCCTCTCTTAAGTTCTTCTGACATTTCCCTGATCTTGTTTCTCACTGCGAGTCTCTGCTCAAACGCCTGGAATACGACAGTGTTGTGTGTGCTGCAGGGACGGAGGACGCCAGGCTGAGCTATGACTGTAATAATGACCCAGTCTGTCCAGCCAAATGCCGCTGCGAGTCGAATGTAGTGGACTGCTCCAATCTACGGCTGAACCGCATCCCTGAACACATCCCAGCATCCACCACTGAACTGTAAGACTGTAACAAACACATCGCGCTATATGTCTGCAAACAATGAATGCCAGAAGTCTGTTATTTTATTAAATCTCATTCTGTTTTCTCAAGGCGTCTCAACAATAACGAGATCACGATGATAGAGGCCACAGGGGTTTTCAAGACGCTTTCTCACCTGAAGAAAATGTAAGTGTCACCGCTTTCACGTCTGAGTGACACTCTGGTTGTGATGCTTCACTGATGTTGCCGTTTGATTTGCAGAAACCTGAGCAACAATAAGATCTCAGAGATCGAGGACGGGGCATTTGAGGGGGCGACTTCGGTCAATGAGCTGCACCTGACGGCAAACCAGCTGGATTCAGCGCACAGCGGGATGTTCAGAGGGCTGGATGGCCTGCGCATGCTGTGAGCCCAGTTTTTCCCACCAAAAACCAGTCAGATTCGGCCATAATATATGGTTTTCTTTCTGTGCATTCATCTTCACATCTTTCTCTTCTAGAATGCTGCGCAACAATCGCATCAGCTGCATTCACAACAACAGTTTCACGGGATTGCACAACGTCCGTCTGCTGTCGCTCTACGACAACACTCTGACCACCATCACACCCGGAGCCTTCGACACGCTGCAAAGCCTCTCAACCCTGTACGAGCCAAACCGCTGCTCTATCTCAACACACATTGGCAGAAATCCTGAGAAGGAGTTTAGCATGTGGTGGTAGAGACAGATGTTTCCTGTAATCATTAACTTGAGCCGGCTCATTGCTGGGAAGCCGTGCCATTGGAGCCTGACAGTTTCTTCAGCATTTTTTTTTCAGTTGATTTAACTGTGTATTTTCCACATTTATTCACTCATTCATTGATATCATTTGACTTTCGAAAGCTTTGTCAGCCTTTCACACTGAGTGCGATTAAGCGATGCAAATGTACAGAGCGATGACGTTCTTGAATCAAAACAATAGATCCCTATGGAGCCATTCACACCGGGCGTGATCAATCGCGGCACGACAAAGCGAGATTTTTTTCCGACCAGTGTGTCGAATTTCCCCCCCATTGCCCTACGATGAAAGAGCCATCCAATTAGATTAGCCTTTACTGATGAACTTCATATTTTCCCAACTCAGACCCACAGTACCAGGGCTGAAACCATCAGAATCCAACCCTAGAAATCTGCCAATGCAATGAGTCAAAATAGACAAAATTAGACTTTCTGGCAACAAGTCATAATGTGTCATTCTGGCCACATTCCCTGGGAATCGAACCCATGAACTTGACCATGCTCTACTTTTTGAGCTACAGGAATGTTTTTTTTTCTCAAAAAGCATGCTGCATTGTACAAAATGCACTACGTTTCTGAAACGAACTATTATAAAATAATAAGGTCAAGATGCGATAAACACTCTGTATCTGGCTTTTACCCAATTTTCATGAAGCTTTATTATTGCTAGCATAAAGGCCTGTTCACACCAAGAATGATAACTTTTATGATTATTAACTGTTATGTTTATTACAATCATGTGCTGCAGTTTTGTCGTCTGCTGCTTTAAATGCTGGAGCTCTTTAAAGTCAGCTGGATTCTGATTGGCTGTCAGTGTTCTGATTGTTCATTGGCTGGAAAAATGTCCTGGAAGGGATTTCTAATGATATTGTTCCTCTGTGGTTTTATCGTTATAGTTGTGGTGTGGACTTCCATATTCTCATAGATCTAGAATGAATATGAAAGAATATTAAAACTTTATTGTTATAGTTCTCTTTCTAACATTCATTTGGTATCTCACTCTGGGCATGACCGATTGCAGAAACACCAATGACACCATGTCTGCCAATCATGGCAGACCAATCACTGCAGTGATCAGGGAGTCCCGCCTCCCTGTATATTATAAACCGCAGCTACCTCCTCAGCAGACTTTTGGAATTATTGCTCAACAGTCTACCGATGAAGCCACAAGATAACATCCTAAATTCAATATTTTCTTACTCTTTTTGAGTGACTGCACTTGGAATTGGATAACTAACGTGTTAAGTTTTTCAGCTCTAAGTTTCTCAATAGTCTACTTTTTTCCCCAAGTTTTGGTGGCGCTCATCACACACCAAAAAGAGGGAAAAAGAGACCTCACTACTCTTAGCACAGCTCCATACTAGTTTTCACGTTGTGGTGGACTTATCGTACGAAGAGAGCGCAAGCTCCTTCATGGCCACCTCGAAAGAGCCAGAAAGCCACGTAGGGAAAGGCCGTCCTCCATATCCTTGCACCCGTGGAGCATGAATAATGCTGCCAAGGATTCTCACAGTCTCTGCATCTCCTGCCTGGGCGTTAAAGAGGCTCAGGAAGCATTATCCAACCCCGATGGCTGCCCTCACTGCATGATTTTCTCGACTAAAACCCGAGAAAGGAGAGTGGTAGCCACTGGATAATCGGACCCATGCCTCTCTGCTCAACCAATAGAGGAACCCATGGAGTGTCCACAGGCCTCAAATTTGTGGGGAGATATGATGGATAGTGTGTGGATCACACTGATCCACACTGATGGATCACCTGTCCTTCCCCCGCTGTTTGAAAATCTTTTAGTGGAGAGGAAGATGACGATGATGAGGTGCTGACCATCCTCAAAGAAGAGGATGATGACGATGAAGATGCCATTCTCCCCACAAATCAGTCCGTTTGCCGAGTGCACAGGATGAGAGCTCACCCTCCCCTGTACATGTGGACACAGATCTTCTGGAGGTCTGTCTCAGGGCCACGGCTAAGTTGAAACCAAAATCGTCTTACACAGCCGCAGCAGCGAAATCGTTCGAATCATTCAGCTAACCCCCAGGGTAGAAAGAAGAAACTGTCTACCTGAGACATCAGTTCAGCTTCAGGAAGGGATTGGAGACAGCACTCTGTCTCATCCCTTCAGAAAGGTACACATCTCCCTCCCGCGGGGAAAAAAAAGAAGGAATTTAAATACAGAAATTGTTCTTGCAGACTGTTCAGTGTCAAATGTGTGCAGGAGTGTGGCCCATGTTCCCCAGGTGCCCCCCCAACACATTGTCTCCCCCTCTACCCATGGGATTTGTTTTGAGGGAGGAAGACCAAAAGTTCACAAGCATCCCAACACAAATAAAAATTCTCTGTCACATCCAGGTAAAGCAAAAGTTCACAAGCATCCCAACACAAATAAAAATTCTCTGTCACATCCAGGTAAAGGGCTAAGGGTGCAGAGTGGGATTAAAAAAGAAAAGAATCACAAAAAATCAAACCAAACATATATGAATATAACTCCGTTACTAGTGAGCGAAGACAGGAAAGGCCCTCTCGCTGCTCAAGTAATGAACTGGTGCACATGTGTAGTTCATACAGAGGTTTTAGCCACTATAGACAGAGGTTACAGACTCCAGTTCACTGTAAAACCTCCTGTGTTCAATGGAGTTGTAATGTCAGTGGCCCAGGGAGAGTCAACTCAGGTTTTGGAGGAAGACATATCCTCTTTACTGAGAAAAGGCGTTATAAGAATAATTCCAATGGAAAAAGGCAGCAGGGCTTTTACTCCAGTTATTTTGTGATTCCGAAAAGAGGAGGAGGTCTCCGTCCCATTCCGGCTTTGCAAGTCCTCAACAAACAAAGTTCAAAATGCTTTTACTCAAAACATTGTGTCAAAGTATTCGTCAGGTAGATCTCCAGGATGCATATTTTCACATAGATATCTTTACTGCACACAGGAAGTATCTGAGATTTGCATATCAGAACACAGCATATGAGTATGTGAAAATTCCTTTTGACCTTTGTCTAGCTCTGAGGGTATTCAGCAAATGTGTAGAGGGGGTTCTGAATACGGGAGTCAGAGTCTCATCTTATCTAGACAATCTGCTCATTTGCTCACCATCTCCGCACCAAGCAGAGCTCAATACGAATACACTGGTGTCTCATCTGGAGAGATTAGGTTTCAAGATAAACCAGGCAAGGCTGTCTGATTCCTTCACAGGAGATAATATACCTGGGTCATAGGTTGAATTCAGTGGTGTTTTGAGCTTTCAGCTATCAGAGGAGCGCATCAAGGCTTTTTACCACTGCATCTCCCTTTTTCAATGAGGGAAAACAGTCTGTCTCAGACTGTGCCTCTGGTTACTGGGTCTGATGACCTCAACACTAGCAGTAGTCCATCTGGGTCTATTGCGAATGAGGGAATTCCAGAACTGGGCAGCTTCACAAGTCATCCGCTCCAGGAGCTGTCTCGGCCACAGAGTGCGCTTCTCACCAGAATGCATGAGCGCTCTTCGTCACTGGAGAGTGCCATCATTTCTCAGGACAGGATGCCCTGTGGGTCCGGTTGTATTGAGAAAAGTGGTGACGACGGATGCATCTCTCACGGGCTGGGGGGCTGTTTTTAGCTCTGAGACATTTTGTGCAATTCCTCAAGAATCATCATGTATTGGTCAGAACAGACAATACAACAGTGATAGCCTATATAAATCGGCAGGGAGGTGTACACTCTCGCAAGCTTCACATATTAGCAAACAAGCTGATAATGTGGGGCAGCACAAACCTGTCATTGCATGTGACGCATGTTTCAAGGATAATGAACAGGGGAGCGGATTTACTGTCCAGAGGGAACCCGCTATACGGGGAGTGGAGACTTCACCCCCAAGTGGTTCTGATGATATGGCAGAGATTCGGTCGAGCTGCCGTAGATCTCTTCACATCGCATGAAAACATGAGGGAATTCCAGAACTGGGCAGCATCACAAGTCATTGCCTCCCCTGTTCGATGTCCCTTGTTTTCTCTAGCGGGCGACAATGTACCATTTGGTGTGGATGCTATAGCCCATGAATGAGCAGACGTGCTACTGTACACGTAACAGTAAGACTGTGGGAAGCGGAAATTGCACAGCTGCTCTACGACCAACCATGGTCACTACCAGCACACAGGGATCTTCTCTCTCAAGTACGGGAGCTAAATGTTCCACCCATCCCCTCAGCAACTGTCTCTCTGGGCCCGTGAGAGGTTGAATTTAAATTCAGCTGGTTTACCTCTAAAGGTCATTGAGGAAATTCAGAAAGCCGCGTCTATGTCCTCTTTATACAGTCTTAAATGGGGAGTGTTCGAAGTATGGTGCGCAGAAAGAAACAGTCCTTATTTATGTTCAATTTCAGATGTGTTCTGTTTCTTGCAAGACCTCCTGGATAAGGGTACAGCCTTTTCCACGGTTAAGGTTTATTTGGTTGTGATCTTGGCATGCCATATAGGACTTGACTCAGGTACTATGGCCAGCATCCTCTCGTCTGCCAATACACCCAGTATCAAAACCGCTGGTCTCACGTATTTGATCACGTATTCGATCATGCTGGTTCAGGTCAATCTGTGGATCTGATGGCTTTCCATCCGCCACCTTTTTCATGTCCAGAGGAGGACATAAACTACACAGTTTATGTCCGGTGCAGACTCTACTAATGTATGTACAAAAAACCAGGGCACTTCGCAAAAGCAATCAGCTTTTTGTTTTGTGGGCCGACACTTTTAAGGGAAAGCCTGTCTCCCGTCAATGCCTCTTGCACTGGGTTGTAGAGGCGATCGTGTTATATTACAATAGCGCAAATATAGAGCCCCCAAAGGACTTACAAGCTCACTCTACCAGAGGTATAGCTACGTCTTGGGCACTATTTAAGGGCATTTCTATCCAGGAAATTTGTGCTGTTGCTAGCTGGTCTTTTGTGTAGCACACTTTTGTGAGGTTCTATAGACTAGACTTGACAGAACCTTCACTTGCCCTTTCGGTCTTGAAGGCGAGTGGGCAAATTGTACATTAAGCACTTGGGTAATCCAGTTTATTATAGTATCAAAATTTTCAGTCTATACTGGTCTGCTTTAAGCATTTTAGTTGGGTCGAAGAGGTTTAATTCAGATCATATTCATCTTCAGTCTGCTTCGTCAGCATATCAGCAATTCAGAGTTGTGTATATCCCATAGTGAGATACCGAACTAATGTTAGAAAGAGAACTTTAGGTTACTAACGTAACCCCAGTTCTCTAATAACATGAAGTGAGGTATCTCACAGTAGTACCCTCCTTGCCTGTTCTGCACGGAGAAGAGATATGCTGAGAATGACGAAATGGCATGTAGCTGCAGGGAGGCGGGACTACCTGATCGCTGTAGCGATTGGCCTGCCGTGATTGGCAGACGTGGAGTCATTGGTCTTTTTCCGCAATCGGGCATGCCTGGGGTGTTCCCATAGTGAGATACCTCACTTCATGTTATCAGAGAACCGGGGTTACGTTAGTAACCTAAAGTTATCATCTTTGGTGTGAACAGGCATTAATGCAAGCCTATAAATGATATCATTCCTGATTATCGACAACATGATGAAATTTACTCCCATAATTCACACAAAGCATGATGGGATGTAGGTGAAGGGTGGATTCCAGTCATTATGCTGCACCATACACTAGAGATCCAGTGTTAGGCGTAATGCATTACAAAATAATCCTCAGTGGAAAGAGTAGCTTGTTGTTTAGGACAAGTTTGGTGCTGCAGACGAGGCTAATTAATATATTTTTGTGTGTGTGTGGCAGAAACCTGCTGGCCAACCCATTCAACTGTAACTGCCATCTGGCATGGCTGAGCAGCTGGCTGAGGAACCGTAAGATCGTCACGGGAAACCCGCGCTGTCAGCGGCCGGCATTCCTCAAAGAGATTCCCCTGCAGGATGTAGCGTTACCAGACTTCCGCTGCCAAGAGGGTACACGCTCTTCTCTTTATAAATATAGATTTGACACACTGCATTGTTATGTTTTTGATTGTATCACAGTATGTTGATTCACTGCCTCTGTCTCTCTGATGTGGGCAGATCAAGAAGAAGCGAGCTGCACGCCGCCCGTCCAGTGTCCCACCGAGTGCACTTGTCTGGAGACCATGGTCCGCTGTAGCAACAAACACCTGCACGTCTTACCCAAAGGAATCCCGCGCAACGTCACTGAGCTGTGAGTCAAAACTCTGAACACGATTACACCTGAAAGCAGCACTAAAGAAGACAATAGTGTCATAAGCCTAATTTTAAGATTAATGTATTTGAATGACATATTTTGATCCATTTGGATTACAGATTTAACATTAACTAATAAACTTAATGTGATGCATGATAAATGAAACAGGTCAGAGTTCTGTAATAGTACTGAAGAGTACTTCTGTAAGAAATTGAATGCGCTTTAAACAAGTAATAACCAGGTTTATATATGTGTCATCAATAAATCTGTTTCAATCTCAAATATTTTAATAATTTTAATAAGATAATTATAATAATTAGAAATTGCTTGTTTCATA